CCAGATATATCAGAGCTGCTGCAGAAAGTGCGGGCCGTCTGTGCGCGCTTTCGGCGTTCTCACCCTGCTGCTGCTCACCTGTCTGTGCTGCAGCGTAACTTCGGCCTTCCCGCTCACCGCCTCATATGCAACGTGCCCACAAGGTGGAACTCCACCTCGCACATGCTAGAGAGACTGTGCGAGCAGCAGCAGGTGATAGTGGAGTTTCAGATGCAGCACGCATGGGTCGCTGTGCGGAACAGCACCACTTCACCACCAATTAGTGGGCCTCCATGCGAGACCTGTGTGCCATGTTGCGCTGTTTCAAGTACTCCACCAACTTGGCCAGTGCCGATGACGCCATTCTCAGCCTTACTATCCCGCTTCTATGTCTCCTTGAAAAAACGCTTTGGGCGATGATGGAAGAGGATGTGGCACAGGAGGAAGAAGAGGAGGAGGAGGAGGAAGAGGGGTCATTTCCACGGTTATCAGGCCAGTCAGTTCCTGCACCAACATAGGTCAGGTACACAATTGTCCAGCATCTCCACACTGTCCAATGGAAGCTGTCCATCTCCCAAACACTGGAGAGAAAGCGGAAGTACCCCCCTAGCCACGCGCGATCCCTGGCCCTGAATGCCAGCATTTCAATATTCATGTCCTTTGAAATACTGTCATTCCGTCTGGTGGAGACGGACAGTTTTAAAAACCTGATGGCATTATTGGACTGCAAGAAATGCACCGCAGGCAGCAAATGTTTCTTTTTTTTATATGTCCCAATATTTCGGAGGCTACCCCAATAAAAAAAACAACTAATAATAAACAGTAAAAAAGAGGAGTGAGATAGCGCTAAGTAACTATAGGCAGCGACCTTAAAAGGGAATCCCTCAAACCCTTTAAAACAGAATACAATAAAAACAATAAAAGGCTGCGCACAAAAGATAAATAAAGTCCAATTAGAGTAAAATAAAATAAAATAAGTCCAAATGGTTTTTTCTTACTGATGTCCTTGTTTGGTGAGGTCTTCTATTTTTGTGGTGGTTTCACTTAATAAAAGATAAAAAAGAGAAGACAAGGGGACATCCAATGGTGTAGTATGTAGAATTCAAGTCTTAGAGATAAAAATTATAATAGTAAAAAACTCACATTTACCAGAGCTATTGTCCAGCTCTAGGAGTTAAGCGCGTACAGCGGTTTAATCCCCGCTTATGGGATATAGGGCAGGTTCCTCTCCGTGAATGGTATCCAATTCTCGGGATAAAACAAACAGCCAATAGTGCTCACTGTATGGCGAATAATAATTAAATAATAAAAGAAATGTACTTACAAAGTAGGAGCAGACACACTGCTCTTTGGTGACAGCTTGGGTGGATTGATCCCCACCTACGGATTTCTTTGGGTACAGGAAACTTCCAGGAATTTTTAAGGTTTTTTTTAAAACCAGTTAAAAAAAAGAAGGTATTTAAAATAACAATAAAAGGGCCAGGGTAAATGAGAAGAGTATGTGTCTTATAAAAAAGATAATTGGCAAAAACAAATGACCAATAATACTTTAATATATATAAAAACACAATATTTAAATTTCCATAACGCGTTTCGTCACAAAAGGACTTTTTCAAATGGTTATTCCAGGAGAATTTTCTAAGATAAATTGTTTTAATCCTATTTTTTTTATTTCTATTTTCTCTGTTTTCTAAAGACATTTTCTCGATTACTTCTAGATAAATTATAAAGTTCAACATGTAAGAGATATGTCTTCTATTCTGTTTTTTATTTGCTTTTTATTTTTATGAAATACCCTCTAATTACTGACTTGTATGCACACAATGACATTGTTGTCACGGGTGACGGTACGGAAACCGGGACCCCTGAGTGCCTGATGAGAAGTTGGGTGTCTTCAGCATGGAAGTGGATTATCAGGGCCAGGTGCAGGGTAACCACACGCCCCCTGGTGTTGAGCACCAGCGTTTGTTCAGCCACAAACCAGAACCCTGATGCAGCTACAGCGGATCCCAGGAACTAGGAGCTTGATATGCAGACCTCCCAGGAACTGGATAGGGGGGCTCTGCAGCAGACATGTATCCAGTACAGAAGCAATGCTAGAACAGGCACCAAACATGAAAACAAGACAGAACTAGTAGAACCCAGAACCAGAGAAGGATAGGAAGCTAAACCCAGAACATGTACACAATACATAAGGGAACATTAACTAAACAGGGGCAGGACAGGACAGGACTGTACATGGACTGAGGTAACAAAATAAAACAAGACAAGATATAATAGGCAAGACAATATATAATAGGCAAAACAATAGGAGACATAACTAAGCACTATATATGAAAAGTATGGGGATTTAGTTACATTATATGATCATACATTGCGTAAGCCTGCCACAACGCCAATGTACCCCATATTCGGCAGGTCCTACTCTGCCTAATGTATACTAAAAGAACCATAAGAAACACATATATAGCACTTACCTGCAAGAAAGGGCAGAAGGCTTGAGCAGCTGCCTGCAGGTCCAGACTGAAACAAAAGGAAAATGGAAAACAAACATGTGTGGCAACATAAAACAAACATTTAAATGAATCCAAGAGACTGGGAAATCCAGGGATGGAATATGAGAATGAACCCAGAAACCCAGCATAAAGAAAACCAGACATAGAATAGAAAACCAGAAAACCAAGAAAAACTAAACAAGAATTGTAAAAAGAGTATTGGATACCAGAAACCAAAGCCAAACATCTCCGCAGAACATGGCATGATGTGACACTTGTTGGTGTTTTCCTCGAGGTAGCATTTAGTCATCCTATTTATATACTCTTTATTTTCTTCTGGTATTAATAAAAATGTTATCCAGTTTCCAATCTGGTCTTAGAGGTAAAACAAACTGGTCTTTGATTTCCATTATCACTCCATTATGATCTGTCCAGGTTAAGTCTTATATATATATATATATATATATATATATATATTTTATTATTTTTTTTATTATTTGTTGAATAAAAGGAGTTATTCCTAAAAAAAAAAAATTAAAAAAAATGTATACGTGAATATGAATAATGGACCCTAGAAAATTGTGTAAAATCGCTCGTCTGGATGTACTGTTCGCAGTAGATCATATAGACTGTATTCCCCCAAAAGTGACTGAAAGGTTCAAGTTTGGTTCTTAACTTCGTTAGGCACTACCTTTCTTTCTAGATATTTCCTTTTCATTTTATAATCTAGTGCCGTATTGAGATCCCTGGTTATATTCTCTAGTTTATTGCATATTTTCCTTAGGAGACTAACTGGGCCTTTATTGGATGCTTAAATGTTTACCAAAGTATACAAGACCTTATGATATATCTAGCATCGTAATCAATTTCTTGGTAGATATTCTCGAAGTTTATATGGTCGGATATTAAAATTGTGACTCCTTTTTTTAAGTAGCGAAGAGTGAATTATGTTAGAATATCCCTTTAACAAGGTTTTTTCTTTAATGTCTTTGGTCTAGTGGGTCTCCTGCAGTAATGCTACATCTATATGTTCCTTTTTTAGGAAGTCAACTAGGGTCATTCTTTTATAGACTGTATTAAGGCCCGAACATTTAACGTTAGCCACTTGGCCATATCGCAATAGGCGTTTTCTTATAAATACAGTTTTTGCTATATGGACTGTGCGAAGACAACATTTACAAACACAAAAAACAAACATCACATAACTTTAAAATACTTGGGTATATTCCCTTCCACCATATCCCAATATGTGCCATAATACACCTAGGCACTACAGATGAATCTAACGTAGATCCATAATAAGGAGCTGCACAATATTTATATTCAACAAATTGCAGAGAGAAAGAAATAAAAAACGAGGCCATGAGGCTGTACATCACCTTCTCTTTCTCTGCGTCTTATTATCTATTATTGATTTATGTCTGTCTATATAACAATCTTTTATTGTTATCAACACTCCTAGAAGATATGCCAGATATAATTATCTAACATTAATATCCATATGATTTGAATAGTGGGAAAAAAAACCAACATATTGTAATATTTAATATCTCTATACTTGGGTGGCATTTGAATTAATCAATTATGTGTTTATCGAATATATCTTCCCTGATTACCGTTTTCAACTCTGTATTTCTTTATAACTTTAACAAGTCTATACCACAGTGATAAACATTTATTCTATCTTATATTGTCACATTATCTGTGAATATTTACTCAATATTTATAAGTCCCGGTTGCTCCCCCTCTTCCCCTCCTCCCTCCAACCCCCCACCCACCAGGATCACGACTCTTCCTCCTTCTCTTATATTTTTTTTACTTTTTAGCCATTCTTTGAACATTTATGGAGTTTTAAATATATGTCTTTTGTCGTTTTCTGTATGTTTTTCTCTTAGCTCTTTTGTTACTTGAGCATATGTCTTCCTTAGTTGTCTTGCTGGAAGGACAGATCTGGGAATACCCAAATCTTTGAATATTTTTCATCTTTAATATTACTTCTTCTTGCTGTCTTTAAGATCCATTCTTTTATTTTATATGACTGAAGAAGGACCATTACCTCTTGTGGCATTGATTCTGGAATTGATTTGGTTCTGTATATCCTGTGCCAGCTGATAATTTTATAACATGACAGGAGGCTTCATATTTGCTTAAGTCTTTCTTTACTAGAACTCCACAGCAGCACATTAACATAGAGAGAAAAACAACCAATCAGAAAAAAGTAAGGAATCCATAAAAGGCTCCTCCCAACCAACTAGTTCCTCTTTCTTTGCTGCTCCGCAGTCAGTACAGGTCAGAGTACCACTGCCTCCTGTTTTATATGGGTGGCTCTGGATTATTTTGGATTTATATATCTTTATTATTTACTTCATATGGTGTTTGCAGAGTGCAGGGGTTTTAGTGCAATATTTTTCTTTTATCTGCTCGTTCTTCCCTACTCCCTGTAGGGACTTTGGGGGTTTGTTTCCTTCTTTGCTTTTTCCCTCTCCCCAGCCTTCTCTGTCCTTCTAGTTTTAGCAAGGAATTATTTTATGTTTTTATTTTGCATTTCCTTTGTGCTTTCCTTTCCCCTCGCGGTCACCGGAGAGCAGTTCTATGGACCGCATTCCTTGGTCTGACCGCCAGGGCCGTGGAGAACGACTCCCGCGGCCCCACGTGTATACTCCCGCCTGCCGGCAGTGGGCCGCAAGCAGGAGCGATCTCTGTCCCTCCCGTGCTCCTGGCCACTGTCTCGGTTTCGCTGGTGGACGGAGGGGAGAGGGCGAGCCTGCCACGTGGGAGCGGCAGCTCCCGGCCTTGTTTGGCCTCCCCACACCGCAGGACTCCTCTGTTTGGGCGCTGGTGGGGAGGTATGTTACAGTAAACACAAAGCACAAATTGTTTTGTTAACTACTTTCCAGAAACTGTTGTTTACATTATGATTTCTTTTTTAGCACCCCGTTCTTTGTCCACTCACTGTTCCCTGGTGACTTTTCCATAGCTGTATGCTATGGGTTGAACCTGTTTATTCACAGATGCTGCAAGGTGTTGCTTATTGTGTCTCACACTGTCTTCAGTGTTAATTACAGTAGAGTGTTAATTACAGTTACACAGAAGAGTGTTACGTACTATTAATCTGAAGTGTTACGTACTATTAATCTGAAGAGTGTTACGTACAATTACTCCTGAAGAGTGTTACATACAGTTACACAGAAGAATGTTACGTACAGTTACACAGAAGGGTGTTAATTACAGTTACACAAAAGGGTGTTATGTACAATTAATCAGACGAATGGAACGTGCAGTTAATCGCCTGTGCATTACTGATGGGCCTGACTTGTCTGTGCCCTAGGATTTGGCCTGCTCTGTCTGTGCCTTATTGACTGGCCTGCTTTGTCTGCCCCATTTATCTGGCCTGTGCTGTCTGTGCCAGAATTTCTGCATGCCAAGCCTGCTGCTACATACTCACGCTTGTGCATTGCATGCACTGCCCAACTTGTCTCTGCCATTATATGGGGTGCTGCCCCGATTTCTTTTTTTTTTTTCTGCCAGTGACACTTGGCCTCTATACTCCTAGGTGTCATTTTGCCTATGACCACGGCTCCGTAGAGCCTTTACCCGGGGAAAGATTGCAGTCAATGACTAATAGGGCAGTGACCACCTCCGTGGACATAGGCTTCGGCAAGGGCCCTCCCTAAAGCTTATCGTGAGTGAAATGATAGAGGGCCCCCCTTAAACAGCAGATGACTTGAATGAGTCAGACTCTCCTGATGAGAGCAGGCAAGTGCGCTACTGGAAGGGTGAAGGCCCTGAACCATGCTCCTGGAAAGATAAGACTCCGGAGAGGTGTCAAATCCCGATGCTATCGGCCTTGATGGCCAGATGGCACTGCCTAGATGGCTCAGGGGAGGAGGTCTCCGTAACCCCCCTCCCATGGCCGCCCTAGCTGAATGGCAGGCGGACCGACCCCATCAGAGGGAGAGGATGATGAGGGTAAGGACTATGATGACCGCCCCAAGCGGCACCATGAGACGGAGGATGAGCCCACAACAGGGGCACCAACGATCATGGAAGAAGTGGTCGTCTTGTGGGATGCATTAAACGAACCCTGTTCGATCCTCGGTCCTTGTGGGACCTGGTTTTCTTCTGAATGGTCTCTGCCTGACCACCTAGCACCATCAGTGCATTTCTGGGTCCGCGGGCTGCTGGCTTGGGAAGCCCGCAGGATACTTCGAGCGGTTTACCCAGTCCGGTACTCCTGGACAAGGTAGCCACGACCCCAGACTCTGTCCCCGATGAGGCGCTGTGGCTTAGCTGGTTAAAGCACCTGGCTAGTAACCAGGAGATCCTGAGCTCAACCCTCTGCAGTGCCCATGTTTTAATTTAAAGTCTGCACTGACGAGCCGATTACTTTTCCCTACACGAGTTAGTGGTTCTAGCGGAACATACAATGAAGGATAGAATGTGTGCAGTTTTTATATGAAAAACTTAGCAGGGGCATATTTAATGCGCCATCCCGTACTTTTATAGGGGATTGGACACCTTGCCCCGGAATTTGTCCAGAATACCAGATGGGACCCCAAGTAGGGGGGTTGCAGGCTGCCCTATATAAAACGCAATTTGTCCGTTGGATAAGTTGGGCCATGGCTGGAAGGCTTAGGATTGAGAACGAGGCTTATTCACAGGGCAACTTCCGAATCCCGGCTTCAGGTTGGAACTGGGCTGTGCGCTCTATTTGCTGGTTGGGCCTTTTTAACGCGACGCCCTGCTACACGGAGGGCCACGGCCCTCATACGCATGGACCCCAGGCCAGTGGACTTGGGATAAAGGGAGCTGAACCCTTTGGAGTCCCCTCACAAGATTACACATGAACGTAAATCTGTTAGTTGCATTGTATTATATGCGGTCCTCAAGGAACTTATGGAGATCGCGGGTCCCATTCCTGGTGAGGTGGGCTTAAATGTTCTACCTGGTGAGTTTAGTGTCTGGTGCACCATTCCTTTGGGTGATAATATCAACCCGGATGTCAGGTTGGATGAATTTAGGGCATTAAAGAGATGCCCTCTTTTTTTGTTTTTCTGTGCGTTTGGACCTGGACGCGGCGCTTCCCCGATATAGGAGGTTTCACTGTATGGTCTACCTGGACGGGTGGCTGTACCTTTGTGAGGTGCCTCCCAGGCCAAAATGTCAGGCGCATTCTGCGCTTCACTGGTTCGAATTCCTGGACCAAGGAAAATTGACCACTCTATATCACGACGAGTCCTTGAACGTTGGGGAAGGTTTTCTGTGGAGGACCGTGTCAAGACAGGAGTCCACTGAAGATGGTGGACACATAGGGTGGACCTACTCTCTATATCGTTTATGGGACATGCCTGGGCAGTTTCGCTACAGGGCCACGCAGCACCTGAAGACTCACTTTTCCTTACAGGCCTTTCGGCGCCCGAATACTTTCCAAGTTGGAGATGGTTCGGAATTCTGATTTGGAATGGCTTGCGGGATCCTTCAGGAGTCAAAGTTGGGTGGAGGCATTTTCTGATCGCTTCATTCCCCGGCAGACGAGCTGGGGTGCATGGTTTCATGCGCCTGGGAGGAGCCAGCCGTTGGATGACCTATCAGGTCCCGAACAGTTTCAGCGGACTGACAGACCTGTCTGCTCAGTGATGGACACTTCTTTCCAAGGGTGTGTGGCACAGAGTCGCTGACTAGTTTCCTCCGTTTGTTTGGTCCCAGGGCCTTACTGCCGTTTTGCTTGGTTTGCTGGTACTTTGGCATTATGGTCTCCACTACGGCAGAGTCGAACCTTGTTTCCTGGATTCCCTGGACCTGTCCCATTTGGACCCTGGGACTGGAAGACGTTGGTCTACATGGCGACCCTGGTGTAGTTGGGCCTGGAACGGACTACCGATCTTTTTGTGATCCCTGTTACAAGGTTCTTGAATTTTATGTCACTTTTGTTGACCGGGGATAGTCGGATCATTTAGATTAGGTAGCTTGAACGACTGTTTTTGGCGTTCTACGCACTGCTTAGAATGTCCCTTCGAGCAGAGTGTGCGTGTTCATAGGAGTATGAGTCCTTTACGATCTCCGAGGACAGGTATTCATTCCCCCAGGGCTTACCTGCATTTTTGTCGTGCTTCGTTAGCGGGTTCTTTTAGTCGGGTTTCTTTTCTATTCACCACTTTGTATTTTCCTTTTATTAGGCCTTGTTTTTTCTTTCGGAAGGGTGTCGGATGTTCGGATCTTAGTTATCGATGCCCCGGCCTTCTTTCTCTGCGGCAAAGGTCACGAGCAGGGTGTCTATATGTTCTAGTCGAGCTTGACGGTTATATTCTTATCTTGGTGGGTGCCCCACCTTCATGCTGCCTTCTACGACACCATTTTGTTTGGACGATTCTTTCCTTTTTAGCCCTTCACGTTCCGCTCGGTTGTTGTCCTGTGTTGGAGTTCATGGTACAGACTTGTTTCCCTTTGTGGGAACGAGGGTTCATTGGTTGTTGGCTTTGGCGGGGTGTATATGTCTTTCGGTCATTTCAGTTGAAACACAGCGACTTCAGGTGCCGAGATGGCGGGCGCATCTCTCCAAGACATTGCACACTTTTCTGCTGGTTCTGAGGAGCTATCTTCGCAAAGTTTAGGTTAGTACAGCAGATCGTGTTCTTTGGCTTTGCTGTCTGAGCATTAAAACAGCAAATATGAAGCCACCTGTCATGTTATAAAATTGTAGATTATACTAGCTTTAGTGTAACTATAATCTTAATTTTATTAATGACAGGAGGGGAATATTTCCCTCCCAGTTTTTCACCCTACCCTAGTTCCTTGTGTTTACCTGACCTCCTTTAGTTGGTAGCCTGTTTTTCCAGGTCTGGGTTTAGGTATGTCTATTATTTACCTTTCTGAGGGAAGTCAGGGTATGTTTTTAGGCATATTGTACTGTCATTGATTATGGGTATTCATGTTTTCACTATGCATTTCATTCAATGTTGTACTGTCTATAATTAATGATGGGTATTCCTGTTTTCTCAGTACATTTCATTCAGTAATCAGTGTTTTTGACTCTGTTTATCTCATTTCAGTTTAACAGTTCGTCTACTGATCCAGGTTCAAGATCGTTCTAAGGAAAGATTCAAGTTTCATGGTTCGAGTACAGTTCTTCTTCAGGATAAAGGTCAAGATTTCATCCACTGGTTCCAAGTTACATTTAGGATGACAATCATCGTATTATTATGTTTGTTTTCTTCTGTTATTTTTATTAGTTGTGTATTTTTCATGTACCTTACTTTGTCGCAGCGTGAAAGAGGAAATCGTTGGTTGGGAGGAACCTTACTTTTTTCTGATTGGTTGTTTTTACTCTATCTTAATGTGCTGCTGTGAAATTCTAGTAAAGAGACTTAAGCAAATATTCACCTCCTGTCATTAATAAAATTAAGATTATAGTTACATTAAAGCTAGTATAATCTACAATTGTTGCTTCTTTATTTGTTCATTTCAGCCCAATAGATTCAAAAAATTCCAGCAGAACATTTTCCAGTTTCCAGTTTGTCATATGAGACAAACTGAGATGTTCCGTATTCGCAGATTTTGTCTTCTTGCTCTGTCCTCAATGTCAATTATCTTTTTCTCTCGGAAAGTCGATTTTCTTCTAATTTGTTCTTGGTTTTTTTCCCCCCCTTTTAAATGGTTATATCTATTTTTTTTTCTTCCAAAGTATGACCTTTATTTTCCAGTGAGGATTTATTGTTTCTTATTTCTGTATAATTCTGCTGTATTTCTGTTTTTATTTGAACGAGTAATTGTGTTAAACGGTTTTTAAGATATTTTTCAGAGATAGTTGTATTGGTCCTTTCTTCAGTAACTTGTAAATGTGATTCTTCAGCTGATGATTGTACCATAGGATTAGTTTAATTTATTTCTGATGTATTTAGTGAGATTTTGGAATGCCTTCGATGGGATATCAGGGAGAAAAAGGAGGGGACCTTTTCTCTGCTCTTTTATCCTCTTCTTTTGTTTGTTTCTTTATCTTTCTTAGCGGCTATTTTTGTGTCTTGCATTTTTTTACTTGCCATCTTTTCTTGTCTGTCTTCTTGCTCTTTATTTCTTCTTCAGATCTAACCTTTTCCTCTTTTCTTTATCTCTCGACTTCTGAATATATGCTCTGTATTTATATATATATATATTTTTTTATTGATTCTTGCTTTTATCTGTGAGCACGTGATCAAATTTATTTTCTTATATTTCCTTTCCCCCCTCTTCCCTTTCCCTTCCCCTATTCATATTTCCCTTAATTTAGGAGCTAATCCCTATTATGTGGGAGTCCCCCTTTTTTTTTCTTTTTCCTTTTCCTTTCCTTTCCTTAAAAGGAAAATAGAAAGGGAGCCTTTATACAATCCAGTAGTACACCTTTAAAGTGTTGTAAGTGCTTTGTTTAATATATATATATATATATATATATATATATATATATGTCTTTGTATATAATGTCTTTCAGACAAGTTGTGCAAGCATATATAGTAAATTCTCTGTGTTCCAGACCTCCTTCTCAAGGGTATAGGCATAATTAACTGTTAATAGGGAGCAAGAGGTTAAATACATTTTTCTCTTTTCTTTTTATTCCGTTTTCTTTTCTTTATCTTCTCGGCTTAGTATTTGGAATTCCTTACTTCCTTATTTCTCTCCTTTTCTTTTCCCTTAGTTTAGTAAATAAACCCCTTTTATACACAGGGCTAATGCCTTGCCTTGCTTATTGTATAGGGTTATACACTTGAAAAAAACCCCCAAAAAAACATGTCTTTGAGAACAGGTTATATAGACTTATAGAATATAGTCTATACCTGTTTTTCGGCTGTTAGATGGCTAGTGATTAGGGCAGTATTCCTCCCGCCTCTGCAATCCGCCTGCAGTGTTTCATCCTCCTTTTACCTCCTAGATTGGTAATCTCTCTTCCTAGAGAATATGACGAATAGCAGTGAAACAACATCTAATGCGTATTGTATTTTTCTTCCTATAGTACACCAGAACGCTGCTGCTTCCAGGTTTCCTTGTGTTCTCTCCAGAGTGTGTCTTTCCTCCTCTCTGCAATTCGCTGCTCACCACATTTCTTCCAGCATACTCTCTTAGCTTGTTCATGCTGCTACCTCATACCGGAGCGCCGACGCTTACGTCATAACTCCACCCCAACTGGATTTTTATTTATTTTAATTCTGGCCACTAACCATATTTAGTTGTAATACATATAAGTAAATTGTCTACTTTCTTGTCTTCATTCAAATTTTTAGGACAGTGTGAAAGTATATTTAAATGGTGAACAATTTTATTTTCACTTTTATTTATCAAGAAAATATGCATTTGATAGGATATCGAGGTCTTCCTTTATATGTGAGCATTTTATACTAGAACAAAGCTTTGATTTCATGTTTTCCTTCTGTTTCTCTACACTGCTTTCTGAGTTCTTTCTAAAAAATAACAATATTATAGCACAGAGTTCTAGTACTTATACGTGATTTTATTGTGTTACTCATAAAAATAAAGAAAGCCATTTATATTTAATAATTGAAAAACCCGGTATATACAATGTATTGTGTTTCTTTCCTTTAGACTTTCATTTACATAATTTATTTAGTCCAGTATTCAATTACACAGACATACCTTTAGGGTGTTGACCACCCTAGACTGAAGGGTAAAAGACTCAGAATAATTGAGTGTCTAGTGTTTTGCCACAATTGCGGTTAAAAAGGGGATCTTTTCAGACACATTTGGCTGGGATATACAGGGCTGTTTCTCAGCACTCGTTTAATAAGTTCAGACAGGTTGATAGCTACGTGCCCTAGAGCATAAACTTAACTGAAAGACTAAAAACAAGATTTTACAGCAGAAAACATCACTCACATTTCTGATCTAAGGGAAGTGAGGATAAAATTGCTTATAAAAGAATAAAAAATGAAATCAAAATTGATCCAAATTCATACGTGGGAATAAAATAGACACTTAAGATGAATGTAGACATAGTTTCATTTGCTGCAGGTGGAACAAGTCTAACAGACTTAGAAAAGTCATTAACATTCATTAAAATTAACCAAGGACTTAACAATATTCTTATATATTGGGTCCATCACACAGTAAAATTGCAAGACACCTGTAAATCTAATGTTGATGAAGGACACCATTCATTGCGACAAGGTGGAATAACAGATTAAGTCCACTTTCTTGGCTAAACAGATTATTGCTTTCTTACTTTTTGGACCACAGGCCCTATCTTTCTGGAAGTAATAAAACGGTTTATAGGCATATGATGGGGAAAGTAAATAACTGCTTGAAATGTTGACAAACTGCGAATATGTACCTCAATGAAACAAGCCTGCAGCATTTTATTTTGGCTCAAAAGTACTAAAATCATATTCTCTTAAGCACAAGCACTTTATGAGAAAAGGGCTATTTTATGATTTCCATGATCTTTGGAAGACCTTCCAGTGAGAGGTAAATATTCTGCTCAGCACTTCTGCAATGATCATGAGCTTTAAATAAATATTATGTCCTTATCCTGTAATCATAGCATGCTGGGCAAAATAATGTAAATTCGGAAGCATTTTGTGTTCGCTGATAAAGAGGCACATTTCACTTTTGATCAAAAAATTCATTTTACTCAGGAAATGAAAAGTCTTGAATTTAATAACGCTAACCTTTTCTAAAAAGGGATGGAAAAAAGTAAGTATTCAAACTAAATCGCAATTCCTCTGACCAGCGCACATAATAAAATGAAAGCACCCGACTATGAAATAACGTCTCCACTATTTTGAACATTTGTTTGATAATTGAAGATATGATTAATAGCTTTTTTGCAGCCTTAAGGATGAATGTCCAATTCCAAAGCAACACAATGGTAACCTTCCATAGAGCTGATTGTTTCTTGACCAACAATAGACCACGAGAAGGAGGTCACTTCTTGAAATGTCCATTCTTCGTCATTAGAAAGGAACTTGTAAAAAATCTCTCAGGTGTATAGATAAGCTAAAACTTATAATATTTTGTAGAATTTAGAAAAAGGAGAAGAAATGAAAGATTGTTATGGAATCATAATAAAATTGCAGGAACCAGTGACATGTTCATGCTAGGTTAAATATGTTCCAATAAACCATACCAACACTTTGGGAGGAAGCAATGTAACGGGGGCTATTTCATTATTTACATAGTTCCAGTATATGCTGTAGCATTTTAATACACTGATTAACAAAACAGCAAATACATGACAAGTTAAGGGTCCAGGTCAAGGAGAGAAGATCAGTATCATGGTATGACTTCTGCATCTACTTAAAATTATTAAATACATTTAAAAGAAATAGAACATATATATATATATATATATATATATATATATATATATATATGAAGTTTGAGGAAAAGCTGTAGAGGAGAAAGGTGAAAGTGAAACCATATAATATATTAAGTGGGAAGAGGCAGGGGCAAACTGATGTAGAAAACATTAATGACCTAACCTGTTTATTTTGAGGGATTCCTTTAGGATGACAGACCGGGGAACATACCAACAGGAAAGGTAGGGAATTTCATCTTATATTCTGGGAAGAGGTGAATTATTATACTTTTTCCCATTCTCATCAATGCATATGAAATTATACATTTCTGAAATATAAAAAACTTTCGATGAAAACCATTTTTACTTTAATTTCTCCTGTAACACATTCACTAACAGAAATGTGTAGTATATTATTAGCATTTATATGAGACCAACATATTCTGCTTCGCTTTACAGTTATGCAGAGAGAATGTAAAATTGTTATACAAAGTAATGTTGACAGAAACAAGAGGCGAAGAGGTCCCTGCTCAAACGAGCTTACATTCTAAAAGGAAAAGGTAGAAACACAAGTGGGGAGGAGAGGATAATAGATGTAATGTTTGTGTCTAGTTACCACTGTAAATTAGGGGGTCTCTCGAAACTAACATTTTTACATAAACTGGCAGAACTGACTCTGAAGAAAACTGTCACTTTGTCAATAACTGTTCAGAATACTATGATCAATACTCCCCATTACTTCTGTAACTTGAAATGTTTGTACATTTCTGTGGCTCACATGTTAATATATATGCATAGTATGTATTCCGTTTTTAGGCCTTGAACAAAAACTTTTAAAACCAGAAAATGGTTCACCAGCTTGAATATATACTCAGCTGGAGTATTTGCAAACATCATTGTCATTATATGTGCACCCATCACTCAAGTGTTGCAAGAGGAACGTGCTTCCAGACATCACACATGTACAGTCTAATTCTCCTCTGAGAGACTCAGCGTGTTCTAGGGAGGAGCTCTTGCTTCTAATTTTTTTTCTTAATTTGCTGTATTTAATACATTTGAATATTTTTAGAAAAGGCTGTACTTACATGTGTCCAAAAGAACAACTCTAGTGGCTCTCACTCAGGAAGCCTCAAGAGATGCTGCCTATTATGGCCCTTTATTCTTTGAAATAATGCATCTCTATGAGGAGATGATGTTTGGCACAGCTCTACGATTGCAATGCACACTCAGTAGGGCCCTCAATACTTCTCTGTGGAGTAGAATTGTCTGATATCAGTAATTATCTCAGCCTGGGGAGGAGCTTAGGTGAGACTGCCACAGTATTGGAAAGAAGGTAATTATTTATGAATTGTAGGGGCTGAACATCTTAACAGCAAAGGCCTAGCTCTAAGGTTAGAGGTACATGTTTGTATTTATTAGCATGCTTCTTTATTAGCAGGGTGCTAAAGATGAGTGCCAATATTTCCAAAAAGGTGAAGTAAAAGTGTAGCATAACAAACAAATCCTATTAGCAAATGTTTGTTTAGAAAAAAAATGTCAACATCCTCAAAAAAAAAAAAAAGTAACCTAAAGGTGGACAGCCTTTAGGCTTTATCAGTTTTTAGGCTTACACCTCCTTATCCACACATAGATATAGTAGTATAAGGGAAAGGCAGTGAGATATTGCTAGTACCATGGGGAATGTGGATTGAGATAGAGGGATAGGCAGCTAGTATCTGGAATGAGTAGCCCTCTGCATAATAGTTTGGAAGGCTAATTAACCCATTTGCACTGTTAGAACGTGTCAATATGTCCTGAATGGCATGGGCTTTATTGACGTTGGGGCGAATTTAAATATCGCCATGGGGCACCACAATCACATGGCTCAGATCAGCTAGATTGGCAGGATTGGCTGCAGGGGGCTGCTTGGATTTCCTGGCAGATCCCCCAATATATAATTAATAAAAAAATTAATTATATATATAAATAACATATTATATACTTACAATAAAATTACACACACACAGTGCCTTCTGTAAAGTTTGGTGAAGGAGAGATGATGGTCATGTTAATATGAATGAATTCCAATTTGTGGCAACAGTGAGGAAGGTATTTTCTTGTGTACAAAGCGAGGTCCATGAAGTCATGGTCTGACAAGTCTGGTGTGGAGAAAAATGAGTGGCTGGCTGTCAAGGTTGAGCTCCCCAACACGCAAACTAAAGGACAAGAGAAGCAACCCCAGATAAACGTACTACCGGTCCTTAAAGTGGTCGGACTTAACATGGAGAAGAAATACAAAATAGGAACGTCAGAGGAGCAAAAGTCAGGGTTAGAGCAGGAAGCGTAATCGGAAAACAAAGCCAAAGGTCAAGGAAGCCAGAGATAAGAATAACCAGAAGACAAGCCGAAGTCAGATACCAAAGAGACACAAGTTAACAGAACGCACTCTCGGGCTACAAGAAACCACGACAGGGCAAGGAAGTGATGTAAGAAGGAGGTATAAATAGGGCTAGGTAGTCTCTGATAGGTTAGGGATAGAATAGGGTAGAATATAAATAGAGTGTAATACCTGGGTGCTGTCCCTTTAAGCATTTCGGGACAAGCCGCACACACCCCTGTTGGAAACACCGGACGCACGTGCGCACCTGAGCGCGCGACGCCGGCCAGAGGTCCGCACAGCCCGGCGGAACAGGAAGGACGGCCGGACCGGAGCGGTGCGGGCCGCAAGGAGGTATGACAGAACCCCCCCCAGGAAGGAATGCCCACTGGAGAAACACCAGAAGGGCGAGAAGGAAACCTAGCATGGAACGCGCAAATAAGTCGAGGCGCATGAACCTCAGAAGCAGGAACCCAAGAGCGCTCTTCAGGTCCATAACCCTTCCAATGGACCAAGTATTGAAGTGATCCACGTGAGACACGAGCATTGATGATGTGTCGGATCTCGTACTCCTCCTGACCATGGACTAAAACAGGAGGACGAGAACGGGGTCTAGAATGACTGTTGCAAAC